TTTCAGCAATAGGACTAACATTTTAGGGCCGACGGCAAATGTTACAAATAATTCAATGTAATCCTTTTTTCATTGAAAAAATTATTTTGAGTATAAATCACATGATAAACCAATAAAATAAGTAAAAAAATAAAAGAGAGCTTCACAATGAGTGTGGAACCTAAGATTAAAAAAAATAATAATAATAACAATAACACAAATAAATAAAAAATTTATCCACAAGCAGATTTTATCCCTATGATCACAAATAAATCAAAAGTTGCTAGATACCTTATTTGTCTTTAACTTAGACTTAGTAAAACATAAATGTTGTCCTTACAAGACTAACACTATCCACTATATGTCATAATATTCCTATTTCCTAACCATTTGCTAATAATCAAAGTAATTTAATAATAATCTTTTTTTAGTGAAAATAAGAAAATTTTAAATTTAAATCACATGACATACGAGTGAAATAAATTAAGATATGAGAGATGACCACTTTTCATTATCAATCCATAATTTTTTAAAAAAAATTCCAAAAATATCTCAAATTAGATTGTATTATTTCTGGCTTGCTATAAGGTATGAATGAAATACATATTAATCGGATCATATCTTTTATTAGAATTAATTGGATTACATATTTACTGGGACTTTAGTTTCTTTTTAATATGACTTAGAATTGCGCATTAGTTCCCATTAATTAAGGCCCCTAACTACGTACATAGACGAGAACATTAAAGCAAAAAGACATTAAAATACAGTGTTGTTAAAAAATAAAAGGAAAAATCAAGCGTTTACCTGAATTGATCCGTGTAAGAAAGCTTGGAATTCATAGTGCTTTTGGGAAAATGGCTAAAAAGAGAATTCCACGGCTGCTCCGGTAACGTTAATTGTTTCTTCCTCACCGCAGCAACGATTACTTGCATCACACCCGTCATCGGACTGCCCTCCGGTTTAATCTTAACATAAATTCTCGATCCAATAAAGAACATTACACATGACAAGAACATCATGAACGCCGGAGTCCCCAGACCCCAGGCCCAGCTGACATCCGACTGCACATAGACAATGATCGACAAGGATATCATCATAGCAAAGGTGAAGGTGAAGTAGTACCAATTAAAGAAGCTGCTGATCCCCCTCTTCCCGGATTCGGTTTTCGGGTTAAACTGGTCAGCTCCAAAGGCCAGGTTACAGGGCCTAATGCCTCCAGCTCCGACTACTAGTAGTCCTAGAGCAAAAGAAAGAAAAGTCATTTGCCATGGTGTCGGTCCAGAGCATGTTCCAGTTTCTTGTGATTTGCAATGGGGAGGATGCAAATTCGGTACTGCTGCTGTTAGTGTAAGCAGAAACATTCCCTTCAAAAGGAAAAAAGGGTAAATCAGAATTTTATCCTATAAGGTACAAATTAACAACTAAATCCAATTCATTCATAATTAGAAAGGTTTCAGGTTCGATTTTGACCGATGATCCCTAGTAAGATTTGAACCGTACCAGAAAAGAAGCTATGGACGCAAATCCAAGAGTCTTGTATCGGCCAAAATATGTGTCACATAGATATGCACCTAACAAGGTGGCTAAGTTGGTGGTGCCGTTAAAGACGTTTACAAGTGTTGTAGCTGTGATGCTCCTCATGTTGAAGACGGTGGTGAAGTAGATCAAAAGGTTGTTAGAAGTGCCTGTAGTCCCCAACTTCTCAAAAGTCTCATTTCCTGCAGTTCGAAATTAAAATTAAGGTTTTGAACAGGAAATTAGAAGGATATATATGTATTTAAAATGCATGTCTGAGATACTTTGATCTCTTACCTATAACAAAGGGCATAGCTTTAACTCCTCTGTAATTAACCTTCGGTTCGTCATCGGCGGCGACAGAACTCTTCTCAGATGTCATGGGTTTTGATCACTAAGAAGAGTGGATCTCTTGGATTTATTTCTCTTCTCTTTGTAAACTG